ATCAAATAAACTTAAAGTGCTTGTAGGTTAATGGATCACATGCAGAGATTGATATCTGTCTAAGACAAGAAAGGATAGAGCCTGTCAGGGTCAGCAGCATCTCATCTACTAATGTACCATTAGATGTGTTTATACTGAATATTTGTGCTGTAAACTGAAAAATCAAACCATCTCAAAAATAAGAATAAAATATTAGAATCTTAAAAATAAAACACTGTTGTGAAACAGTAACTACACTTAAATCACTGCTGTTCCAATAAACATCATAATTCAGGTATTGAACGGGCCCCGAGGCTACATTACTCAAGACCACAGTCTCAATAAGCTCCGACCTTAAAGGTTCTGCTATCGGTACTGGAGCAGTAGCGTTTTGTTTGTTTGTTTTTTTCTCCGCTAGATAAACCTTATCTTCCATATTTACTTCACCAACTCCGTCAAATATCCTTCTATGTATATAAAGACTGTCTCTCTCTCTCTGGCCGGCTGCTGTTTGTGTGAGCGGAGGGGTAGGGGTGGGGGGGCTGTTGTTCCAGTGACACACACACACACACACACACACAGTGCAGCGCACACACCAACTTAAGCTCGTAGCCTACCTTTAGATGGATAACGGAGGCGGAGAGAACCAAACGGTCCAAAGTGTGGCTCTACTTTACTAGAGTTGATGCAGACACTGCCCGTTGTCACAAGTGTGACAAATGTTTTGTTTGTTCAAGTTTTTTTTTTCTTCCTCAAAAACTATCAATAAGAGTACCGTTAAAGTACCGTATCGATAAGTAGTATCAGTAAGAATAGTACTACCGTTAAAATCTTAACGATAACGATCCCTAATTAACACTGGTAAAAACAGATTATATTTATGTTTCACAGACGCTGTTTAGTAGACACGGGATGTCTTGGAGGGTTTGGGAGCTGGGCTGCCACTACTTTTTCCTTGTTTCTCTGATAACTTAAGTTCGATGACTAAATTCCTTCATCCAGGTTAAAATGCATAGTTGAAAACGACCAAGATCTAAAAAGTGTAGCGTCAAAATAAGGCTTATTGTTGTTTTCCAGGTTGTTTCTGTACTTGTTAATCAAACCCAAGGTATAACTATAAGGTGTTTGACCTAGTTTATTGTGTGGATCAGGACCTGGCACTGCGTACACTTTAGTGTCAAAGAGGAGCAGTAGCCTACATCGCTTGTGTGGAACTATTTTGGTTTTAAAGAAGAAGAAGATGCTGCACAGCGTCAGGTATTGAGAACTTGCCCTGGTACCGTTGCTACCTCACGGGGAAACACTACTAACCTGTATCAGCACCTCAAAGCCATGTACCATAGTTGCATGGCTAAAATGCCGACCATCAGTGTGTTTTGTAAGCCAAATACCACCCGACAAGGATCAGTGACCGAAACGAAAGCATACCTCCATATAAACTTAATTCAAATGGGCACGGGGGAAATTATTCAGGCAATAACAGAGTTCATAGGGAACTCTGTGCCTCTCAGCACGGGGACAAGCCTGGGTTTACGGCTTTGATAAATACACTGGATAAGCGGTACAGCATGCCCTCCCACACAAATTTTAGCCAGGTTGCCCTACATTTTTTTCTCTACTATAACTGAAATGTGGTCAAGCCGTACAGCGGAGTCCAGCGGACTTCGACCTCAAAGCTCGCTGCCTTCAAACTGCCTACTTCCCAGACGAGCACACGGAGGGAAACATTGCAGCTGGCCCAAGAGGGGGGCTTGCCAGCTGAGATCTCCATGAAGAGAACCATGTCTGCATAACCACGGACAATTTTACACGATTACAAGGCTGTAAGTTAAACAAATCAGTCAATATATTACTGTGATTGAAGTAGTTAAATAAAAATATGTCATTCATATCAATTCATGCATCATCTAATTTCATCATGACATAGGCCTGGCCTACAGGAAACAGTTTATGTTTAATCTTTTAGTCATTATCTGTTAGTCATAATAATATAGTATGATTTATTGCTTTCGTTTGTTGAATAATACAGAAGATAAGGAATTTATCGCGAATAAATTCAAATTAAATCGCAATATTGATAAGATTATTTTCCCAAATCATTCAGCCCTCGTATATATATATATATATATAAGTATAATATCTGAGCTGACTCGATAAATGAATATAAAATGAAAATAAATGAATGGTAAATAAATAATAGCTTTTTTTTATTACATTTTTATTCAATTCAGGGGACTTTTATTTCCAAATGCCACATTTATTTTCCCAGCTCTTTTTATTTCCATCTGTTGTATTCAAATAAGGGGGCGTGGTTATTTCAGATTCAGACCAAAGCATCAGCACTGAAATCAAAGTCCTCAGAAACAATTAAATATGGAATTATAAAATAAAAGTCCCCTGAAATAAATGAAAAAGGTCATTTTTAAATTAAAAACCTATTTATTTATCTATTTATTGTATACGATCTGCGTGTCTGTCCGCACCCCGCCCGATCAGGTATTTTCCATCCTTATTCACTCACCTTATATAGACTCCGCTCAAAGAAAAATCAAGTGATTGTGAATCAGTTCAAAATATATATATGTATATATATATATATATATACATACATACATACATACATATATACATATATATATATATATATTTAATACAGTTTAATTTAAATTAATACTGATTTAGAGGGCATTTCAATTGATTGTGTAGACCTACCCAAGACGTTTTCTCAACAACAACTGGTGCATAAAGCAGTGAGTCGGTGGTGCTCAGTGCTTTAACTACCGAACCGGAAGCTCATTTCATTCTGATAATTGAGGCGGCACGTCAGTATTTTCCTGTTTTTGTGCAGCTGGTTGCGGTTGGATATTTTCTTCACCAATCAAATCAGACAGCTTGTAACAGGTCACACTTTTCTCTTCAACCCCTCATCTGCAGGGCACACTGTATCACTACACCCACAGGTGAAGCACCGCGGGCTGGCTAACGTTTCCAACTTGGTGTTGACACTGCATTTATACTATATAGGATAATATATTTCGAATATATTACCAATACCAGTGACTAAATGTGCTTCACAGGCTGCGGACAACTTTTTGCACGTTAGACCTGCATCTACATTTTTAATTACTATTTTATTGAAACGGTGCTGAAGTTAGCCAACATTAGATAACATCAGGGACAGGAGGCTAGCTATGATGCTACATGGTGTAGCTGTAGGTAATTTACACAACACGGACAAACACCTTCTAACGCAGCCTTACCTGAAACTGATCAATGGCTTTCAGCGGCTCGGTGCAGTTGGTGAGAGTTTCTTTCAGGTCCTCTCCATTGGATATTCCGAGCTCCGGCAGCCCCGCGAACATCTTCGTTTACGTTTAATCATCGACGGAAGGAATTATGTTTGGAAAAAATAATCTAATATGTGAATTTGCAGACGTAAATATAACCGCTTTCTACAAAACACACCAACGCATTATTCTTTTCGCTGTCAAAGCAAGCTTCCCGTGTTGCAACTTTGTAAACAGTCCGTCAGAAACAGCAGCTATGAAAGAGTTCCGCGCTTGTTTCCAGGACTGGGGTCGAAAAGTAAACAGAAATCTCGTTTCCTAACCACTTCTCCTCGACCTCGATGTGTAAAACGTCATGAGGTCAAGGAAAGATGTGAAGGAGAGTTCCTGAGGACTTGGGAAAAGAATCTGACTGCACCTACACTAAGCTTCTTCTCTTTTTTTTTTAAACTAGCTTTATTTATAACACCTGGACGATAATTACTCTTTTCCTAACCACAAAAACAAAACTACAAAAAATAAGATAACATGAAAAAAAAAATACAAATAGAGAAAGTTGAGCCATTAAAATAATAATGAAATAGAAATAATGAACTGACCAAGAGATCAGAATAAATTATATTCAGACATAAGTATATAATTTCCTTGCGTAGACGTGTTTAACATTTCAATAGGCCTACATTTGTTAAGCAGAAAATATTAATTTTTAGTGCTTTACACAATGAGGGGATTTGGTGAAACGACATTTATGTATAGACTATAGTATGTTGTTATGATGATGATATTGTTGACTATAAATTCTGTCTACTTGTTCTTCATGTTGACTCCTGACTGGATTTAAAGAGAATACATTTATATTTATGGATTTGGGCTTCAGTCGATCAGACAAGGATTTCCATCAGTTCTGGATCGTGTCACAAACAAAACAACTGCTCTCCTGTTTCCGGCTGTTTCTACATTTACGAGGGTCTGCTATGGTGAAACTACAATGCTGCATCGTTTAAAATGTTGCTGCAGCGAGGAATTATGGGACGGCATTTTCTCTTTTCTTTTGGTAAGGGAAGGTCCAGTGTTTCCTATGCTAAAGGAGATAAGGTAGGAAGCACTGAAGCTCCTTTCCTTATCATGTAGAGAAGTGGAGCAGCTCTGATCATGGCTGCTGCTCAGATACTTCCTTCCTGCGAAAAAATCACAGCCTTGGCTTTTTTCTTCTTCTTCTTGTTTGTTTTAATGGCTAATTGCAACCATATGGAGCATTATCACCACCTGTATTATAAAGTCCTTATATCAATCCAGCATCATTTAGGTAAATAAAAATATGATTCAAAATATCATTCCCAGGATTTTTTATTAAAACTGCTTCTAAGATCCATTCGTTTGATGCCTTTTTATTCCAACTGAGTCCTTCATAAGGTCCTCTTATTTTCATATTTTGGGGAGACAAGACTACGACGTTCTCTTTTGTGATTGAAGATATCAGTTTCCAGATGGGTGTTTTCCAAAGAAATGTAACAATGACTTAAGTTTGGTATTACCTAATCTTATTCTAATAAGCTCTGCTACATTTCCCTTAATGTCTTTTCCACCCCAACCCCCTGCTGATACAGATGTCTTCATTTGAGATATTCATTCCATCATTTTTTCCCCACTGTGCCTTGATTTTGTGCACTGGGCTTTTTCTTAAACCAACTTTATTTATAACACATCAATCATCTGGATTGAAATGTTGAAATGAGATAACATGGCAGAGATGTACAAGCAGAAAGAGCTGAACCATCAAATGAATAATTCAATAGAAATAAGAAACTGAGTAAGATGCCAAAATAAACTATATTTAGACATATGTAGGCTATAGAGAGTTTTGATCTTCTTTCTCATACATTTGTTAAGTAGCGAAAATTCATTTTTTTGTGGATACATATACATTATGTAGCCTATATAGTATTTTGTATTTCGAACAGGAAAGAGAATAAATCTACATTTGTGGATTTGGAGCTCAGGCAATCATACAAGGATTTCCATAAGTTTAAAACAGCTGCTCTGTTGTTTCTATACTTATGTGGGTCTGCTGTGGTGAAACTACAACGGTGTGTCATTTTAACTGCTGGTGCAGCAAGGAATTGTGGGATGACATTTTCATCCTTCCTTTTGTAAAGGAAGGTCCAGTGTTTCCTATGCCGAAGGAGATAAGATAGGAAGCACTGAAGCTCCTTTCCTTATTAATAATTTTAAATGTGTCACTCATCACTCATATTTATCTAATGACCAGAACGGGATTCCAAAATGTTTAATCAATGTTGTTTGGTGGCTTTGAATGTCTTTAGTGTAGAACCTCTAGCACCTGTTGTCTTAGCCTCAGTGAACACAGATGAGATATGTCAAAGTTAAGAAACATATAGTTGAAAATGCCTCCACAGGTACAAAGACCACAGCTGATGTAAATGATTTGTGTTTTGTTTCTTTATAATTTACATGATCTCTCACAAGTTGAAGAAAGGTGTGTTTGTTAACATTGCCTTGGGTCTCTTCTGAAGCACGTGTGAGTTGTTTCTATCACAAGGAGAAAACAAAGTAATTCCCTAATGCAGTCTTTGTAAGTGTCTGTAGTATGACATAATGAATCTGTAACATTTACAAAAATCATGATTTATTCTAGAGACACACTGTGAGTCTCCACAAGCAGAAAGTTTGTGAATTTGAAAAGAAAATACTGTGGGACATCAAAAAAAAAATCTAAAATGTTCTAGCAGTTGTTTCTAAAAGGAGAGTGAGCAGACTCTAAGAGGACCATGATTTGGACTGAGAAGTAAACCACCTTTGCTCTTACACCATGCCTTCTTTATTTCTTGTGTTTCTGATGGTTATTAGCAGGTACCCCACTCCAAAGAGGAGGAGGGTGATGAAGAGGAAGAGGATGCCAGCCCATGGCCCTGAGGGCAGAGCCTTCATCAGTACAAAGCTCTCTGCTGGGACCATGTTGCTCAGTATCAGCATGTATCCCAAAGCCCAGCCCACAGACGCTCCTCCTGCCTGCAACAACACAAAGAGAGGCTCGCTGAAACCACACTGAACACATGGACTGAAGTCTCAGCAAATGATGGACATGGAAATGTTCAGGTGATTCCTTCTGTCCTCACCTTTTCCTGGAAAGAGATGGAGGGAAAGGAGAGCTCATTGAAACCGTAGCCCTGCGTTAAGAGGACCTGGACGAAATTGGAGACGGCGCAGACTTTCTTCATGTATTTCTCTGGCTGCTTTGTCTTTTCAGTCATCTGTGAGAGGAAATACAGTGAGCTGACATTTTTATTTTGTTATTCAAATCTTAAGCCATTTCATCTTATTTATAGTCACTGTAGAAATTTCTACAATATTCAAAATAAAATAAAATATGGGGACTATTTTTTTTAGTGGTGAACATATTTGAGAGCCCTTATTTATCAGCTTTAGGCTCAGAGAGCTGTGTGAGAGTACCTCAGAGATGGTCATGTTGCAGACCAGTTGGATTGCAGCTTCCATCTGACTTGGGGATGTGATGGGGATGTTGGAGAGATGGCTGATGTACTTGTGAGTGAAGAAGTAGGCAGAAAACGCCTGTGGAGACGAGGGGACACAGTTAATCCAGAGACACGCAGTCTTCCTCATCTCCATTTTGTTCTATTACATTACATTCAGTTGGCTGATGTTTGTGTTCAAAGTGACGTGATGTCTGGTATGATCCATGGCTTGGAGGTAGGAAGGACTTAACCTCACCGTCCTGTCGTCCGGCACCAGAGACTTACTGTGTATGTGAGCTGCATCAGGGAGCCAATGCAGTGCAATGTAGAGGAGGGGGGGTCGGGGAACTTTTGGAGGGTGAACACCAGGGACCAGATTCATAAAGCTCTGTGTAGATTCATGGCTAAAACTATGTGTAAGTACAAAACCAGAAATATTCATTTACAGGAACTACTGCAGCCATGTGGTGAGAGGCTCAGTATGTAGGTACACTGGGGCTTTAACAATGTTATCTTCCTGATGCCTAGCAGGTAGAAAGTGTGTTGTACATATTTGGTCATAAATGAAAAGTTAGTGGGATCACCAAAGTTTCCAAGTCTGCCTGAGGGAAACACAAAAGACCCCCGACCTCTTACACAGTGCCGCCCACCAGACAACTGCAAAAGACCTTGAGAGAAGTGCTGTCTTAAATGATAAAATGGAGGATAAAAGTCCCTCTGGTGGAAGGACAGTAACACAGGGAGGAACTTTATAAAGGCACTGCTGCCTCACAGCAAAAAGGTTCTGGGTTTGAACCTGTGTGGGTTTCCTCCAGGTAGCCTCCTCCAGCCCCCCCCCCCCCCCCCCCCACAGTCCAAAGACATGCAGATTATTAGATTATTAGAATTGTTTGTCTGTAGTTGTCAGTCCTGTGATAGACTGGAGGCCTGTCCAGGGTGAAGCAATATCAACTGGGATTGGCTCCAGCTCCCCCACAGTCCTTAAAGGATAAGCAGTATAACTGATGGATGGATGGATGGATGAATGGATGTATGGATTGATGGATGGATGGATGGATGGATGTATGGATGAATGGATGGATGGATGGATGGATGATGGATGGATGGATGGATGTATGGATGAATGGATGGATGGATGGATGGATGAATGGATGGATGGATGTATGGATGAATGGATGGATGGATGGATGGATGGATGGATGGATGGATGTATGGATGAATGGATGGATGGATGGATGAATGGATGGATGGATGTATGGATGAATGGATGGATGGATGGATGGATGGATGGATGGATGGATGGATGGATAGATGAATGGATGGATGGATGGATGGATGGATGGATGGATGGATGAATGGATGTATGGATGTATGGATGGATGAATGGATGGATGGATGGATGGATGGATGGAAATCTTTGAGGTTCCTTTGGACATGTTCTTGCACTAAAAAAATGTTTGATTGAAAATGAGAAAAACATAAAAAAAGCTCAGTCATCACATTATCACTTGAAGTTGTGTAGTTGCAGGTTATATTGTACATGACATTCTTCAACAGATGGATTGGCTACTTTTATTTGTCATTTTTTTCCAGGAAGTTTTGATTTGTGTAGAGCATCAATATTTACTGTTAAATGAGTTCACACTATGATGTGAAGAAAGAAAGCAAAAACATTCACATAATGCAAAACTAAGTATTAAAAAAAAGCCAAAGAATGAAACAAAGACTGAACCTGAAAAGGAGTAAAAAAGTATTCATTCTTATATAATGTGTGTGTCAGTGTCTTAAAGGTTCCCTCACCATGAAGCGTCCTCTCACGCTGGGTTGGAAGACTCTGTCAAAGGAGCACTTGGAGTAAGAGCAGTTGTCAAAAGAGAAGATCTTTTTGACATTGCCCTGGCAGCTGTGGTAATCTCCTGTGCCCACCACCATCACAGACATCTGGGGGTCAAACTGAGCCGGTCTGTAGCTCTGCGTACACGGAGAATTAAAGACGTCCTTCCCCAGCTTGATAGACATGTTGAACTGTTTTGGGTAGCAGGGGTGGTAGATTTGGGGATTCACACCTTGAGTCTGAAAGAGGCAAAGAGGGTGACGAGAAGTATCATATGACATATGACACCATTCCCACTATAACACTGCTGTAAAAAACCCTGAAACAGGTAAACATTCACAATGCGCTATAGGTGCGTAGGAATACTGTAGTTCATGAACAGGGGGACCCTGTGACCCTCGCTTGTCTTTAATCATAATGTTTCTCCACATATAGATTTTTCTCTGTACCTTGATGAGATGAGCCGTCAGTCTCCTCAGGAACTGGTCTTGGCCGTAGCACAGGAAGCTGTGGGTGTACACTCTGTAAACTTGTCCATAAAGCGTCAGCTCCATCATTTCAGAACTGTCCTCCACCTTTACCGAGGTCTCAAAGGTAATCTGAGTGGAAGCTCCACCTAAATCCAAAGCTCCAATTGTCTCTCTGCCTGGGTGCAGCCAACGCCCAGAAAAACCGTACTGAGGAAGTGTCAGGACAATAGACAGAGTTACTCAAAGAACAACATCCAGCAAACAACTCTCACACTCGCAATGTTTCTCTCTGTGGAAGTCTTTTAGCCCCACAAGCAATGGGGCTCTGTGGCACTGTCGGTCAGTCACAGTCAAGTGGTCTATCACTTTGGTTCAGTGTGAACTGTTACATGTGTTGCAGTGAAATGTTATGCAGATACCCACAGTTTGTCAGAGGATGAATCCTAATGATGATGGTGATGCTACCAGTAGGTACCAGGTGGATTGGCACAAAGTCTGTTAAAGAAATCTATGGTTCCCAGATGATGAACCCTGATAACTTTGGTGACAACTCTTGTGTAAAATTTCCCATTCCCATCAGCCTCAGCTGTACTTGGTGTTTAGTGCTAATTTGCCTTCACTGAATGAGGGTATGTTGTTTAAAGTTAAAAACATTCTTTCGGGTAGTGAACTAGAGTAGAAACAACTAGTCCACTGGAATCAGGATGATCCTGATTGGCTCTTGCGGGGCTGTTGCTCGCACTGCATCAGTGAATATTTGCATGAAGTTGAGCCTTTTTCAACTGTCCCCTGCAGCGTAGCTTTGTGTAGCTTTTTGAGTGTGTCGAGGTCAGTGGGAGAGGCAGGGCTGCAGAGCCAGGTCTCATTCACACTGAATCTACAGCTTTTTTGAATCTCTGTGTGAATATCTGTAAGGCTCAGTCCCAATACCCACAGTTATGGTCTTGAGCTCCAAGGTGTGCATTCACACACTGCCAGGTAGTAGGCAAGTGTGTCCAGTGACCCTCACTTGATACTGACTTTCCTAATCCCTGTTCAAAGGGCCAGAGGTAAGTGTATCCTGTACTTGGGCCACATGCTTGTTTTCTTCTGGCCCACTTCATGCCTTGTTCCACGGCCCAAACAAATCTTGCAGCTGTCAGACAAAACTGGAGAAGAGCAGGAATCTGCCCAGATGTGGAGATACATGGGCCAGACACGGGCCGAGGACCCAGGAATTGCAGTTCTCGGAAATATGCCACACACTTGACAACATGGAAGGAGACGTGATTGGACGACACATCATACAAACTACTCATTTCATTATGATGCAAGTGATGCATTTTAGTCTTGTTATGTAACTACAGTATCTCTCAAGTCTGTTTGAAGGGACGGTGTTTGAAACCAGAAAAATCAGAGCCCACCTTCGCAAAGTTTTCATTTAAGTAATTGACTGTGACCCAGCCGTACGCCCCCTCCGCCGATCCACTCAGGATAGTTGCCTCTTTGAAACTGAAAGGGTAAGACCGCATTTTTTGTTTCACTTCCTTCAGGACCTGGTCTGACTCTGTGGCGTTGACTGCTCTGTTCAAGAGGTGTGAGAGTTAAATGGGGGATTAAAACAATATTAAAGTCTTCCAATATCCATTTTAATACATTTATGCATAATTATTGAGGCAGTAATATTAGTGTAATATCCCGAGTTAACAGGAAAGTCTACTTACTTCAAGAGCCTCATTCCTGCAGTAGCTCCCAGATACAGTGGAGTTTGGTGGTGTCTGGATTTGGGGATGTCCTTCACAGCTTGCTCCAGACACACCTTCAGACTTTCTGCTGCACCACCACGAACACCTGCATAGCTGGATATCCCTCCACCTTGACAAACAGAGAAAGTAGTTCTGTATACAAAGAACCCAACCTGACCCCTTGACCTTTTCAAAAACTGAACTTCCTTGTCTTAAAGGACGAATGACCTCCTGAAATAAACACTCTGGCTGGTGTTTCTAAGGAAACTCTGGAAACAAACCAAAGCATGAAGAGGAACAACTGGCAGTGACTAAGATGGTAAGAGTCTGGTGAGGAAGCGGACCATTTAGGAACCAAAGTCTTGCATAAGATATGGCATAGTGATGTTTTTATAGGATGACTTTGTGGAAGTGAAAGTGAGAGTATCCTTTCCACCTTGACAGTCTGGGGTTAAAGTTCAGCCACATTACACAACCTCTAGTTGTATTTCTATAAAAGTGAGAGTCTAGAAAAGGCAGAAGATGGCTTTGGAATGACCTGTATTTATGTGTCACTTTATTTTAAAGGATGGTCAGATGTTCATTAGTTGAAAGTATAAATTATCATAAAACGTGATTGGAGTCAGGATTTATCAAACCTGGAGTCCAATCAATGGGGGTTGGGGTTCGAGCTGCTTTGGATTTGTTCGGCCTGATCTGCCCTCTCTCCTCATTGCTGCATAAATGTAATATCCCTTACTACTATATAGATAGAGTATTACTATATTACTATCATAATATTTTATTATTATCTTATTATTTTATTGATACTACTGCTACACAAAATATTTACTATCATGACAATGTCAACACTGGAGGTCACTGGGACAGTTTGCAGGTCGGGATGTCGAGTGTGAGGCCATGGTTCAGCCAGAAAACGGTGGACTGCTCCCTCCAGGTTGGGGGTGAGTTGCTGCCCCAAGTGAAGAAGTTCAAGTATGTCGCGGTCTTGTTCATGAGTGATGGTAGATTAACGGATGGACTGGTACACTGACCGTGATGAAGAGGGAGCTGAGCCGGAAGCCAAAGCTCTTGATTTATCGATCTTTGCTCCAACCCTCAACTATTGTCATGAGCTCTGGGTAGTGACCAAAAGAATGAGATCATGGCTACAAGCGGGTGAGCTCAGGCTTTAGAGATAGGGTGAGGAGCTTCAATATCTGGAGGGAGCTCAGAGTACAGACGCTACTCCTTCATGTTGAAAGGAACCAGCTGAGGTGGTTCGGGCATTTGGTTGGGATGCCCCCTGGGCGCCTTCCTTTGAAGGTTTTCAGGGCATGTCCAACTGGGTGGAGACCCCGGGGTGGACCCAGACAGACTGGAGGGATTACATATCCCATTTGGCCTGGGAACACCTCAGGATCCCCCAGGAGGAGTTGGAAATCATTGCTGGAGAGAGGGAAGTCTTAGCCTGCTGCCACCATGACCTGACCCCGGATAAGTGAAAGAAAATGGATGGATGGATGGATGCCAACACTGTCTTTCCCTCTGTCCAGGACCACTAAACACATATCACTGCTTCTCATACATCAGCCAAACACATACACACACACATTACCCACACATATCCTGCCTTATATTTGGTTTTAATTAACTAACTTTAGAGAAATCTATCTTTGAAATTTGTAATGAAGGTGAATGTAAATGTAATATGTCAGTGCTGTGAGCATCACAAATTGACCTTCACCATATTGTGATGGTCAAGTTTCACAGATGGTACGTTTTTCGTGCAACACCTCTCAGGCAGTACTTCCTTCTAGGCTCTCCACAATTAGCTCGACCAATCAGATGCTCGGGCAGCTTTTAAAAAACCTGTACTGGTCAAATGATATTTTAAAGCAGCACCAACCTTGTCTCACCCATGTGTGAGGAGCTCACCTTTTGCATGACACTCGCTGTGCTGGGTGACGATACCGGTGCCATTTTGCTTGTCAGCTGGCCATTTGTAGATGTACATGGAGGTGTGGGAGGAGCCTGCATCCAGAACGATTCCATACTACAACAGACAGCATTAATTTATAGATCCATTTTATTTATTCATTTATTTATTCACTTATTTATCATTTATAGTCATTGAAGTATTTATTTTTAGTTTAAAGTCTTCCATAATGTCACATATCTATCAATGACACACCAATATACATGTGCATACAGTGTGTGAAATCTTATTTCCTCGCTCTTGTCCGACTTGCAGCTTGTTCTGTTTACCACCTCGCTGTGGTATTGACAGGATGTGGCTTCAGCATGTACGTAGAGCATGGATTGTCAACTGTTTTACATGTTGATCTTTGCCTTTTATGGTTGAACTGGTCTTTGACTGCACACATTTCCCATCATGAAGCTGGTAGGTATGATTTACTGATCTAACAACATGAGCTGTTCTGTAATGTGGTGTCAACTCATACAGCAATGTTGATTTTGTCCTCCTTTGTGTGTGTGTGTGCTCTGTCCAGCCATAACTTCAAAGCATTAAGTTCTATTCAAGTATTATTCTGCAGGCACAGAATGGCAGAATAAGATCTATTTATGTGCCTTTTTCAAATGTCTGTGTGATTAACAACAAAAGGAAAAGCAATGAATGAAGAATCAAACACAGAAACACACAAAGAGCTGTGTGTTTCATTTAGCTGATGCTCAGGCTGATGAATGAGTAAGTTCAGATCATGAAGCTGGAACTCTAAATAAAAAAAAAAACAATTTTTGTTTGAGGACAACCGGTGAATCCATATTACTACTAATAGGAATGATAATAATAATTAGATAATATTTAGACACAGGCACAGACGGTTATCCATCTATCTATGTGCGCTACAATGATATAATTGTGTTAATTACCATGTTCTCAGGAGGCGCCTCCACCTCTTTAGCCGGAAGGACCAGCAGGATGATCCCGACTATCGACAGTATCAGCAGCACAACCGCAGGGATGGTCTGGAAGAAGCGGAGAGCCATACTGGAGACTGATGACTGGAGACTGATGCGCTCAGAGGCTCCGCGTAAAAGCGCGCCAGCAGTCAGGGTCCGTTAAGGAGACCGAGATGAATAAAGGGCGTGCGTGCTGTGGTAATGGGTTTGATCTAAAGCTTTTGACGTAATATTTTGTTGGCCAATGGTGGAAGAAGTAGAAGGGAGTGGTGACAACTTTGACATGTCTGTCTGTATCTTTTAAATCAGTGAAAAGTCAAAATTTAACAAACTGGTTCCACGTGTCTGTGTTAAATGGTGTAACTACACAAACAGAACATGTCTGTGGTTTAAACACAAGGAGTGAAATGTTAGAATTGACCTCTTAGTCAAGGTTAGTTGGAAGATATCCTGAGCTGAGATGTAACATCATGATGATGACTCTCTCTGTGTGTGTGTGTGTGTGTGTGTGTGTGTGTGTGTGTGTGACCCAGACTCTTGTATGAACTAGCTCACCTTACAGCTAACAGCTAAAACATTAGCACTGACAACATGAAAGATATCTAAATAGACTCACAATAAAAATGACATAAGTTTGAAGAGTTGAACTACAGAGCAGGAAGTAGTATTACAAAAATAAATAAAGTTTTAAAAAGTATATATAATAAACAAAAAGGACTCCTTTGAGCAGGTAGAGAGTGAATCAGTTGATTCGAAACTTGTTCCTGATTGGAGAAATTGGAAGTACGACCATTATCCAGAGCCTTTGCTGTGACTTTTCAATCTGTGGTCAGATACTTCCTGTTTGCTTGATGTGTTGACAACTTGAGTCCACCTGTGGCAAACTGAGCTGATTGGACAGAGTTTAGAAAGACACACACCTGTGTATGTAAGATGTCTAGGGAACTAGGCGAAATTTTGTCTTTCAGCACAAGAATGACTTAAAGCAAACAGCCAAGACAACACTGGAGTGGCTTCAGGACATGTCTCTGACTGTCTCTGAGTGTCCCACCCAAAGCCCAGACTGAAACACCACAGAGCATCTGTGGAGAGACCTGAAGATGATGCTCACAGACACTTCAAACCCAGAACTGGAGAGGATCTATCAGGAGGACTGAGATAAACTGCCCAAATCCAGGTTTGCAAAGGTTGTAGAAACTTTACCAAGAAGACTGAGAGTTAGTTCAAAATGATTTCCATTTTTGATTTTTAATAGTTTTGTAAAAAAAAATATCAAAACATGTTTTCATATATTCTTTATTAAATTAAATTTAATACTTTATTTAATCAGGAAGTTACATTGAGATCAAGATCTCCTTTACAAGTGAGACCTGAGTACAGACAAGTAAAATAAATAACAAAAGAAATATAGATTTAAAAAGACATTCAGATATGTATTCATACAAACAAGTGGACGTGTTTATATTAATAATGATCACAGTGTTATTTGAATGCTTTTAAATATGCATTAAGATACCCAACCAGGTAGACAGTAAGATGACAACTGAAACGCTCATTAATTCCATTTAAAACAGAGATTAAGTAAAACAATTACACCTCAAGTCAGTCAGACTTCTAATTAATTGTTTGAATTGGCCTGTTGGTATTCGAGAGTCGAGTTTTAGTCTGTTCAGTAAATTATTCCACACATCCACTAGAGGGCACTGCACTCTAATTTCTGAACGGCAGTTTCAATAGGACAGAGAATTGGGGATTGTTTTCTAGTTCTCCCAACAGATTTTAGTATGATTTCATATCTTATGTATTTTCATATTTTCACTAACTTTATTTAAAATGCTGGAAGAACACACACTGACAACACTCAAACTCTAATCCAAAGTCATTTCATCTTCTCTTATAGTGAATATGTTGTTTTAATGACTTTATGACTTTCTGTTGAGACTAATTGACAGAATTCACTTTCGCTGATTAAAAACTTTTTGTATACATTATACAATGTATGCAAATAGGCAATGCTGTAAATTCTAAAGACTGTCAACTTTCATTATCACCGAACGTACAATAAACACTTGATAAACCTGCAGTAATATTGTAGTGTATAAAAGCTTAATAAGCCCTGAGCTCTGTTCAGTTATCTTGGTCATTTAAGTCAAAAATATGTTATTACATAAAACAAAACACAGAACAATATGATGCATTTAATGACCACCTCACAGGCTGGTGAATCAAAGCTTGACTGTTGACCAATGTTTATTTTTGACCAAGTGTGTATGTGTGTGTACCGAACTGCAGATGACACTGCAGCTGGAAGTGTCTGTGTGTGTGTGTGTGTGTGTGTGTGTGTGTGTGTGTGGGGTATTCTCTGTGGTTGGTGGGCTTTGGGGGTGGGGGTGATTGCCTGAACAGAACTTTGGGGGTGACACAAATGGTAGTGAGGTGAAGAGGTCGGCAACATAATTCTGAAATGCACAGATAAATCAGAAGTGTCCATGCCCAGTGGTCCAGGCAACCACCTGATGTTTCCTCTACAAACACTCACTCCGACCCCCAAGAGCTGCTGCACTGTAAAAAAACACAATCCACTCCAACTCATCATTTAAGCCCATATCTTGTTGAAGGAAGAAAACTTGATGCAACTGTTAGATAAAAGAAAATAACACATTCTTCCTATTCTTTCCAACAGCTCTTTGGTACGAACAAATTGAACTGAGTCGTTCTTGGGGAAAGCTCTTCTTTTTATCGTATATCACTGCTGGTGATTATTCTACAGATAAAGTCTTTTGGTCCCGCCTCCTTAAAAACAAGAACTGGTAGTTGGAGTGTGTGTGGGTGTGTGTGAACTTGTGGTCAATTTCTTGCAAAGTTATTCCTTTCAGCGAGCGATTAATTCGGAATGAGCTGTGCCGATTCATCAATGGGATAACTGGGACCAGTGGTGAAACGTCATTAGTCAGTCAGTCAGTCAGTCAGTCAGTCAGTCAGTCAGTCAGGGACAGACCTGGTCCGGTTCTTCTTTAACAGCTTTTGTAAAGAAAAAGAACCAAAACTGGTGTGACCCATCGCTCATGCTGATTATTGGTGGATAATTTTTAGCAAACTTTTGATAAATATATACATACATATAATTGATATTAGTGATTTAATTCCCTTGCCAGTTGCCAGTTGCCCTTAACAGTTATCTTACATCTTGTCATTAAATATTACCCTGCCGTTTTTATCTGTGGCCACATTTACTGCTTTCTTATTTCATCTTCCTTTTAAACATAAAGTATAATCTTTAATATATTGAAGAAAAAAATCACCTGTGCTGCTGTTTTCAACATCAGACTGCTGCTTGGTTTATGTCAAAATAAAGCCAGTCTTTTCAGTACATGTGCAACAAATCAAGGCCCTTTTAGCCATGCTAGCAGTGTGGCTGCAGCGAAGGTTCTGTTATTCTGTCCACTTTACACTGACATGTCACAACAACTACTGGGTGGATTGTGATTGCAATGAGTTTGGTTCAAACATTCATGAGCTTTGTCCCAATTCAGGCGCTGCAGCCTTCAGAGGACGTGTTCTGTGAAGCTGTGGCCCTGGACTGGGACACAGCTATGGTCTTTGTGAGGTCCCCTCACTTTACGTCAGGGTAAAATTTCAATCTGTCCAATATTAAGTTAAGTGTTTGGTTTTAATACAGTGATACATCCTCACAGAGTGGTCAGCACAGTTAAGTAAACTCTTAATCATGTTTGAAACTTTACTCCTAAATTTAACCAAAAAAGTAATTCAGCAAAAACAGTATTGTTGCAAATTATAGGAGCTTCACTCTTTGCAAGCTGCACAAAAAAATGTGGTTTTCCTTGACGATGTATGATAGACTTTAATATTAATATTATCTATTAAACTGTGGTATTTATATTTCTGCAGGCAGGTCAGTCTTAAGTTGCTTTTCATGGACTTGCACTTGTTAGACTGAACCATACACAGACAACAGACATGTGATTGACTCTTCACAGTTTATGACCATGAAGAAGAAGTCATGGCCGGCTGTCCTTTGAAGATGAGTATTGTCAGTTTTCCCAGTTGATCATCCCTGTAAAGGTAACAATGGACTTCAGGCCTCTTGGTAACTGTGTTGTGATGTTTATCAGTCTGTCTGTGTGATCAGTTAACATCCATTTATCCAGACCTTCACCAGAGCATCAAGCCATCATCAGGCAGATCAAACACTCGACTTAATGGATGTGAATTGTGTGTGAATTGGTCTCTGGTGTCTTTGTCTCAGTGTGAACACACCCTCTCTGACTATCCGAATCATCTACTCGTCTTGTCAGAGGGAGTGTATTCAGCCTGAAAACACCAGTCAACTTCTCGCCTGAATCAACATTTTTTGCAGTGTACTACAGACCCTAAGAACTTCCACAGGCTGCCCCTGCATACTGGAGAGCCAGGGCACACAGAGGGCATTCACACCTTGTTAAGTTTTACAACTTGTGCATTTGTCGGTCCCAGGCTTCTATTGCCCCTGTGACTCAGTCCCTGCTTTGAAGTGACCAGCTCCGTCAGCTGAGGTGATAGAGAAATTTAGGGTTTTCTCTGATGAATGTGAATGCAACACACACTGAGGTGCATATGGCCTGGTGGAAAACTCAGAGTCTAACCCTGGATGAGATTAAGGGTTAACGTGACATTAATGTAATGTAATGTACAGTCAACTAACAGGGCAATTAATTAGCAAGGGGCTTGTCCTGAGACTGTAACTTGATTACAACTGGTGCCAGATTTTTGTAGTTTTAACCATCATTATGACCAGCAATAATAAAACTGCACTCACCACAGTCATGACTGAGATCTGGGCGGGTGGGTTTCAAACAAGTTTCAGATTACTGTTCTTTCATGGTAGGGTCATTTTTGTTGATTTTACTGTTTTACGCAGATTTAAACAATGAATGAAACAAAGTATTGTATGGTGATTTGTTTGAATGTATTTCTTCCATTTCCTTTAAAAGTAACTATCTTACATTTTAAGGGTAAACCTATGAGTAGAAAGATTTAGAGTCTGTGCACAGTCTCTTGATGCGAGATGAGGTTGAGGACAGTGTTTTCTAAAGGTCTGATTTTTATTGTCATGTAATTGCGTGTCTTGAGTTTCATGTGTTCCACAGATGATG